ATTGAGCGAGTCTATTTTGCGCGTGGCGTTTGGCGCGAACGGTTGTCTCTCGCGGTGTGTCCCCGGTGCACGGCACCGCGGGCCGTCTGCCCTCGTGGCGAGTCAGGCGTGGGCAAAGCTGCCTAGTGTTTGTTATGTTGTTGACTGTGGTAGAATAACGTGTAATGACGTTATAGCGCGTTGATCACAATTGATGTTATAACTATTCGGCTGACGATATCGTCGTTCTAAAAGTAGTTAAATAAATGTGTGAGTTGTTTGGTTTGTACCGACCGCGTCTATACTGTGTCCGTTCACTTCAAAAGCTAGCATGGTGGCTCTCTCGTCACATCGAGACCCCCCATCACTTGTCAGCATCGCTTTTTTTCCACCCGGAGTTGCTCCACGCTACCACAGGAGTCCGGGTCCGACGTAACCCTGACGTTTCGGCAACCCACGTCAGCGGGGACGCGTCGGTGCGACCCCGGTCCGCAACAGTATCCCTGACGTGTGTTGTGCACTTCATTTTTTTTTTCGTTTTTAAGCAAAATTTACAAGAATAAGATTTTCCACATAAAAAAAAGCATTACCCCGGTTCGCAACAGTATCCCTGACGTGTGTTGTGCACTTCAAAAATTTTTTTTTAGTTTTTAAGCGAAATTTACAGGAATAAGATTTTCCACATAAAAAAAAAAGCATTGGATCACGTACATTACGAACTGTCTCGTGTATTTTTAGCACGACGGCCTTGATGATTAATCTACGATTGAATCTCCCCAGATGGTCACTTTTTGTCAATTTCGCAAGGATTTTTTCCATAATTATTTGTTTATAGGCGTTTAAAATATTTTCAGCGATAGTAAGTCAACTGGTAAAAAAAGCAAAAAAAAGTTTTGTGGTTGGAACGTTGCCGGTGTTCTTACAAATATTGCCTGAATTAGTGTTTTCTTCAGGGGCGGCGCCAGGGGGGGGGCAAGGGTGGGCTGGAGCCCCCCCCAAATTCTTGCCTGCCCCCCCTATGCCCACCCAAGTGCCCGGAAGCATATATTGAAAACCTAGTAGGAGCAGAGCTAGCTTGCCCCCCCGGAGGAACTCACTTTTCGTGGTTGCCCCCCCAGTAAAAACATCCTGGCGCCGCCCCTGGTTTTCTTGCTTCATTGATATGCCTATTTAGGCCGTAGAAGTAATATATGGGTTCAGCTGTGACATCACGTGAAATAACAATGACAACGTAATGCTTTGAAACCAAGTGTGTCGCCACACCCAGTTTGAGGGTTGCATAAGCATAATTGATTTCAGCCTAACTTTTCCTTTTCGCAGGCACATTTGAAAGATGGTTACGTGACCACAGAATTTTTTTAAAACAAAAATACTTCACTAAAGTCACGCTCACATAATTACCTTTCAGCTCACTTTTTTTCAGCAGTATCGCTGGTGGTCTAATTTCGGGCTGGGACGTTTCACTTGGAATGACCCACCTGCTTTGTTCGTGTAACATTTTGAAGGGGGGGAGGGTGCTCTTCAGTATGTGCAAAGTAAACATTGAACAAGTGATAACAGATACTTGATCCACAACAGGCCCCATCTATTAGCTTTGTATTAGCACTTTTCAAAACAGTCATTATGCATTTCTGCGGTATTGTACAGCAGATCTATGGACTAAATGGAGCTCATGTTTTTGTCAGTGAAGTAGAATGCAGCTGCGTGATAATTGGTACGCAGTTGTGGCTGACAGGTAACTAGAAGAAACTAACATAAACTCAATGGTGATGTCTCGGGGATCACAAATATATGATGACCATGAGCTGCCTCGGTTTGTGATGCCGTGCAATGACTGGACATGGAAAAGTATTACTTTCAGTAACGACACGTCAGCATGAATGGCATAAATGAGTTTTTCCTGTGCCAATTTGAACTTGGCATCTCCAGCGTAGGACACAGGTACTTTCTGTACTTTAGAGTGCATTGTGTTTAACTTAAATGCTATAGGGACCTTGCAGTGTGACGTATATATTTCAGTGAGCTCCCCTTCGACGGTGTTAATATTTACAGGAGCAAACAGAGCAAAATGCCTTGTGAAAGAAACCATGACGACGTTAGTTGTGGTCTTTCACTGAGTGTTGGCTCCCAAGGTTGTGCTGTAATGATCCATTTTGTTTTGTATTACTTTGGAACAATACGGTTAATACTATTCACCAAGTACACTTAGATCATGGTTGAAATGGCAATTAAATGCATGGAACGTTTGTCCTGGATAGCACTAACTCCACACACAGTTACATATACACCACATGTCATTCTGGTGCCTCCTTTACATGATAATATATAAAGCACTTTGATGCCAGTAAAGTACAGAGTATGTTGTCCTTTTCTTTAACATGCATGTAGTAGAGCTTGGCTTGTTGAAAAAATAATATTTTAGGTATCCAGTGGAAAAAGCTTGCAATTCAACATGACTGTGAAGAACAAATTGTAAAATAAAAATAGAATATGGCATGAATTCCTCGTGTCTGCATTGTTCCATTTGACATACAATGTTAGCTTAAGTTTTAGAATTTCTCAGGGTAGCTTGTTATATACTTTGAAATGTGCTGAAGACATTTTACTATAGTGAACAGCAGCCTTTACTGACCAAATGTTTGTAGTCCATGATGCAGTCTTAATAGTGCCGTTTAAGAAACAGAAATTTTGCCATGGGGCTACCAAATTGGTAAGGGACACCAGAGATGGCTGATCAAATCTGTTATTTTCAAAGGCAGCGTTTCGAGAAGCGAGCATCTCGGGAGATCCACACATCACTGAGCCGATAATTTGCTCAGAAGTGTTTGCACGAAATTCTGTTACAGCATGTGGTGAGCAAGTAGGACTGTTTCATTTCATTTATTTTACCCTCAAAGCACATAAGGGCGTCATGGAAAGGGTTAGGTTATATAAAAACAAAAAAATGCAAAAGATACAACACAAAATTACGACATATTAATGAAAATACGTGTTCAAACAAACCAAGCTATGACAGAATGAAGATGTAATTGGTTAGTGCAGCTTTGATTGATAAAGTGTCTTTGGTGCAGGCAATGGAGGGAGAAAGCGGTTCCACTCAGCGCTCATTTTTAGTAAAAAGGAGTCTGAAAAAACATTAGTTTGACAAAAAGGAATGTAAACGTTATATTGATGATCAAGATACCATGATACGTATGAAGGTGCCGAGATGGGTTCCTGTTTAAGTGGATTGTTATGGTATATGATCTTTTGATAAAGACATAGACGAGAAATGTTTCTTTGAAATGTGAAATTTGTTGGTCCAAGGTCCGATTTCATTAGTGAAACACTAGCTGTGCGGGAATAGTATTGAGTTAATGAAACATGCAGAACGATTCTGAACTGATTCAATGATAGTTGTTAATGTTTTTTGACCAGGGTCTCAAACAGAATAAGCATATTCAAGCTTGGGTCTAATTAATGTTTTGTAGAGTAGTAATTTTAAACGACATGGAGTTCTGGAAAAATTTCTGCGTGAGTGCCCGAGAAATCTGTTGGCATTGTTAGTGATGTTTTCAATCTGCGCATGCCAAGAAAGGTCATCACTCAGCAGAATTTTGGGATATTTATGTGATAATACGTATTCGAGGTTGATGTTAATAATGGCATATCCGGAAGGTGTGGATGAGTCAGGGCGACATGAGAAATGCATGATTTCGCATTTAGTGGGATTTAGGAACATTAGCCATTGTGAGCACTAGGTTGATATGTTATCTAACATATCAACCTGATGCATTAAGTACATTGGCAATAACATGGAATAATGACAGCCTTAGGGCCACTAAAAATAGCATCGCAGAATGCTTTTTTTTCAAATAAATCTATGTAAGCACAAGTTTTCTTAAGCTGTGCTTGCCTCATTTTGGCCGCCATGCTCGCGATCAGCTGCGTTCTGTTCTTCATGCAAACTATTGTGCATGCATCTGCATGTAATTAATAATCTGCAAGATGTTAATTCAAGAACATCGCGTATCACCTCATCTATTCAGGTGCAGTATGTTGAGATCGTTACTATAGTGAACTAGAATATGATCACATTCTAGTTCACATGCGTCTCTCATAATCAAATAGTGGTTTTGGGACGTTAAACCCCACATATCAATCAATCAATCAACATTCTAGTTCACTATAATTATTACAGACTGAGCGCCCGTGAATGGAGGTGTTAGCCATGCGCGCATGCGTTAGATCACCATGACAACACCCAATAGGAGCTATAGCGCAGATATGCGCGCGTAATATGAAAACAATGCAATAATTAAGCTGGCTCGAATGTTCGCGCTGCGGTGGCATCGTCTTGCTTCGTACTTTACTCTGAAATGGTTACAAAAACAAACAAAAGAAAAGAAGGCTGGACGAGTCGCGAGGGCTTTGAAAAGCTTTGTTACAAGCTTTTTTTCGAAAATTGACGCCGACGTTCGTCTAGACACGTCGAAGTGACGCCACATATCGACCTTACTGAAAAGTGCAACCGGACCTACAGCTTCTTTCTCTTCGTCGGGCCAGTACGACGCACTGCACAGCTGGCGACGATTAAGCCTGAACGGGGTGGATCAGATCTCTGAACTAAGGGCTCCCTTGCGCATCTTCCGTAAAAGGATCGAGCTGAAGCGCGATCGAACATGTTCAATCTCGATCATGCTCTGTCGCGTTCATGCATGCAGTACGGAGGGTTGTTTGAAAAGCGCGCATATCAACACACTGCGCCGGAAGTGCGTGCCGATCGACCGCGACATATCTAGACACAATCGCCGATAAGTTCGACGACTTCGCGGAACATATCGAACTGTCCACGTACAACTCTAGAGCAGTCACGACGCTCTGGGCCACTGGCTCCCCCTTCTTCGCGCGCGCAAATAAAAACGTCCCCAACGCGCGTAACAAATACGAGTGAGACGGTCGCGAAACAAAACACGAAGCATGGCAAATCCCCCCCAACTTCTAGCCCTATTACCCAGAATGCACTGCGGCCTATCGGTGGCTGCTGCTGCGGCCCACGGGCAATGTGCTTTTGTATTCGGTGTTGTTGGTGATTGGGGCCGGCGGCAACTCGCTGTGAGGTGCTTCGCTTCGGGGCCCGATGCCGCCCAAAAAGAAAGACAGGCCTCCCGTCGAAGCACCCAAGCCGCAGCAGCAGCAGCAGCCACAACGTCCCGAACAGCCACAGCAACATGCCTGCGTTGACCATGAGCTATTCCTCCAGGCTTTCGAGAGTGAGTCGACTTTTTTTTTTTCTTCGCCTCTCTTCCGCAGCGTGGGACGGTCGGCTATGGGTGCGTTTACCCCTGCCCGCGATCTGTGGTTCGGTTGCGCTTTTGCAGCGCCCGAACGGAGCGAATACGAGCAGCGCGAAAACCCCCACACGACTTGGGACGTTTCGCGCCAGCGCATTTCCCCAAAGTCGGGATGCGAGGCGTAGGATCGGTGCCAGTATAGTGTGGTGCGCGCGGAATTATCGCGCGACAGCCGACGAGCCGTCGTTGACGAGCCCTTACGTCGTTCTTGGTTTGTTCAGACGTTCTCTGCGACACAATCTAGTTCCCCCGGCTTGTAATATCGTTGTTAGCGCTATCGGTTAAAGGATACGGCGCTGGTTTGCGTGCTTCGTTCACAACCCGCGATCGCTGGCGAATCGCCGCTTGTTGGTGTGGTTCCCATAATTCGAGTGCGCCCGCTTTGGAATCGAAACGGCGGGGTTCCTGTTTATGTCGGTGATGATTCGGCGGCATTAGGGACATTTGTGGAGCTTCGGTGTACCACGCTGCCACGGGTGGCGGATGGCAGGTGGCGTAGCCTGCCTGGGAGCTAACCGCTGCCTTTTTGTTTCTCTTTTTTTTAATTTTCCTACAATGTACGAAGGGGGGGTCCAGAATTTAAAGAAAAAATAAAGGACGAATAACCGCTGTAGCTGCACCGAAGCATAGTGCAAAGCCGTTAAAAACAGCTGGAGGTGAAGCCGAATTATGGTTTAGCATACAGCTTAGTTGTGCGCATCAACTTTCGCTTTTTTGATGTTTTGAGCTGGCATCGGCGCTCGCTACCGCTGTTACATCGCGCTCACATGTTGTGTGGCTGCGTTTACTAACAGCAGATCTGTTTTAAGGAAGGTCGAGGCTGATACATGCGGGGAGTATACAGCTGGAAGCCCGTATGCGTGCCTAAGAAATTGGGCGGGCTTCGGTCCACGAAAGAAAAAAAAAAAAGAAGATGGTCTGTAACTGACCGAGTGTGCCACAGAAATTTGGCGGGCGCCGTTATACTTACCTCGATCCCCACCGAATGTTGTGGACTTGAAATTTAAAGCAGCTGCACTGACCTAATGTCGCACAAAAACAGTGCTCTTGGTGGCAAAACTATTACAGAGCAGGTTCGGGTAATGAAATTGCAATACAATGCCATCAGCTCCGCTCTTCACGTCTTCACGAAGTTAAGCCAGCGAACCTGCTGAAACAAAAATCGAGGTGCCTGAGCACTGCCAAAAGATGGACCACGCACAGGAAAAGAGCATCAAAGGAGCTTCGTCCTTCTGCTGGTCATGTAGCAATGAGTTTTTGTATGCTTTCTTTTTTTTTTTTTGCTTTTTATTGTATTGATGATTTAGATGCAATTGCATGTTCATTCGTTACTGTGCTGCGTACACAATTTGTCTCGGTACAGTTCCTATTAAGCTTGTTAACTTTTTATGCCTGTAGTAACATGCATTTAATAATGTCTGAAAGCAGACAATGAACACCGATTTTTAGCGTCTAGCTTACCAAACCTTAGTTGTTCTTTATTGTACGGCGCTCAACTTGGAAGTGGTGTGGCGAATCCGAGGATGGTCCTCTGATTCGTTGCACTCTTTCATTTTCTGGCAGTACTGCTATGTATGTAGTATCAATGTATGGGAGGAGTGGGCGGTCAGAAAACAACCGTACAGTGGTCTTCTAAGCGCATTTCTTAAAACACTGTCCACAGGTTTCTTGTACATTTAGTTTTTATTCTGCACAAAGAAAACCTCTTGCTTTACAAAATGGTTTAGCACTAAATATTCGCTTCTGCTTACGTTTCAGAGCCGACACAAATTTACAGGTATCTACGAACTCGGCATGTAGCATCGGTAAGTTAGACTCATGTGTGACGTGTCACATGATTTGGTTGCATTAACATGGTAGTAAATTACAACTGCTTTATCTCCTCTAACAATATTTGAATTTTATTTTTTGCAGCCAATTTTTCTTCATAGGACATTAACTTATATGAGTCATCGTATGTCACGGAATCATAAGAATAGGTACGTAACCATGTTCTTTCCTTTATCTTGTATTCTCCAACTGCACCAAAGATTAGTTGTGGTTGCTCACGTGACATGTTGCCGCTGACCTAAAGGATTCAACGTACTAAGCGATGACATTGTTTTGTGTTGACGATGCCCTTTCGAGTGCTCTTCATACATATACACGTGCCGTATAAGTGGTCAGAACGATGCTCCACTCATACAACCGTAATGGACCTGCCATTAGTGATGACTGTAGTGTGTAATTCTACAGATCGTACCAGATCTGGATCATAGTGTGGCAAGCTTTAGGTTGTGCTACAGAGGCAGTAAAGGCAATTTCTGGTTCTGAGTCGACTGACCCAAGCAGTCCTGTTGGATGGCTTGTTTACCTGTCACACTTCCGTGCGCATTACTGCATGTATTGTGTAGTAGTCACCCCCCATTTCTGCCTGCTTACTCCCCTCCCTGCTCCCTCCAAGTAACTTGTTTTGGTGCATGTCGCCCACATTTAAGAAAAATCCTGGCGCTGTCCGTCATGCTACAGCATATTGAGTAGATCAACAGTTCAATATTGTTCTGCAGTGCAACAACATTGAAGCAGAGGAGGGCAGAAAATACCGTGTGGCACTTCTGTAATGCGAACATGATCGTAATGTGAGAGGTGACTTCCTAGGAAGAAAATGAAAAATAAAAGAATGGTGGGCTTCATTGCATTTTTAGACAAATTTAATTTTGGCATTTGATTATAACAGGAGCATCAACCCCAAATACACTTGCATTACATTTGAGCAAATATGGCGCAACCCAGAGGATTTTGTTGTTCACTGTTTAATGGCATGCTTGTATCACGGCTGGCACTAGATGCTGTGTGACATTAAAGGGTGTTCTAGGCACATAGTGAAATGTAAGGGTGTGTGGATGTAAGGGTGTTTAATACCTTATTCAAGTAATTAATTCATAGTTATTTTCATTTAAGAGAACTGTAGTTGTCATGGTTCTTTAAAGATGTCAGAAATTATCGACCTGGGCAAGAGGCTGCTTTGCATATGGCTGAGATAGGAAGAGTTTAAAGCTTCGTTTTTGGTAGATATGGGTGGTAGAACTGGCTTTGACACATTCTGAAAAGATTGTGTAACTGTACAAATCAGTTCACTAGTGCAGCGTACTGACTGACTGCTTTTTCAATCCTCAAGGAAAAATTTTAAAGTAGACAGCCTTCTACAACGAGTACAAGCACAGCAAGACCCATCATCATGCAGGTTTGTTGCATTTGTTGCACTTTTTTAAATTCGCATCTCTTTTGTGCAGCTGGAGCTTGTGTCCTACCCAAGCTAAGGATGACCAGCACTGGTGATCTCTTGCTTCTGATAACCAAATATGGCTAAAGATTGAGTAATTGTTAGTGTTGGCTATCTCAGTCCAGTGACTTGAGTTGTTTCTCTTGCTTCTGATAACCAAATATGGCTAAAGATTGAGTAATTGTTAGTGTTGGCTATCTCAGTCCAGTGACTTGAGTTGTTTCTGTTGCATGCTCGACATCAAGCCGAGTTCGTTCTATAGTAGGTTACGACTTCAGAAAAAAAAAGCCAGATTAACCCACAACCATTACTGCCCTTTGCACAGAGAATTGGCATTAGTGCTCAGTTCAATAGTGCTCACTGATTTTGGTGGCATCAAGCACTTCTAATGTGTTCAGGTAGCTTACCTTTTTTTAAGACCCACACTTGTGTTGCTAGCTTTAGGTCAGAAACTTGAACGTCCTGGTAAGTGTCTTTGGGATCCATGCTTATCCGAACTTCATACCTTAAGTAGTAACGACGAAGCTTTCAACTTAATATGCATAGTATTTACATTAGCCGAGAAAAAGTGGTTATGGTCAGAGTGGAAAACAGGTGACCACTGACTGTCTTTCACGGGTGAAGTTCAGGTGTGCTGCAGTTCTGTGGGCGGAGCTGCCATTTTTTCAGGTGGTAACAATGTATAATCGAATTTTATTTGCTCTCTTTCTCATTATTTTTTTACACCGTTGTTTATGCATAAATGTTGAAGAAAAAGGTTTTGAGCCATCGACTACTTCAACCTCGTTTTCAGAGCACCAAGCCAAATGACATTGACATTCACCGGATTTTTTGACCGTTCGACAAAGAGTGAGTTGAAAACAGTCTCGTAAAAATCCACCGATGACCCGTACCTAACCTGGTGCCTTGTGTTCCCCTTGCCGCTTCGTCGAACAGGGGACATGGTCACAGCGGAAGCGGTCATACTAAAGATTTGCAACAAGAAGAAGAAGGAGCTGGAACTGCCGTTGTCGCAGCTTTCAGGTAGTAGTCTTTGCCTATCTCACAATTGAGTCTGTTCGCCTTGTCGCCTGCTGGCATCCTGAATGGCTTGTTGTGCATTGTGAAACTGGCACTCTGTTACCTTGGCTATGGAGGAGAGGTTGCGGTGGCTTCAGGTTTAAAGGGGCTTCAAACGCTAACATGACATCATTTGAGATCGATACGTTGTGTAAACCTTTCTTTGTCTTGTATTCACCACATGATTGCGAAGAAAGTTGCAGCTCACAGTGTCCCTGTAATCTTGAATTACTTGAAAGAAAAAATACGCAGGGATATGCATATGTCGCTTGAAATCTTACAAAGTTCTTGCTCATTCCACTGCTGTATTCTTGCTCTAATTCTGCAGAGAGATAGAAATTTGTAGTACTGACTGTTAGGCTTATTCAGTTTTTATAAAGAAATGGCAGTTTGATTTCGTTTAATGGGAATGGCTAGGTTTAACCATTAAACCTAACTGGAATCTTCTAGGCCTAATCATTAGGCCTAGCAGGGGCTGTATGCTGAGGCTATGAATTTTGGTGGCAATATCACTTTACGTACATGGGTACATGGGCCGAAGCGCACTCTGAAAGCAACATTGTGGCAATGTCTTCAAGACGGAATAAGTCTCTTGACGCATTGACAGTTGACATTGTGAAGCAGTGGACTGCAAGAGGAGGCTGTGCTTTGACCTTAATCTTCCGCTGGTACCTGCTTCACTTTGCGTGGCGCCGTTTCTGACTTGTTGCTCTGCTTCCAAAGAGTTTCAGAGCATGAACACTGCAAGAACATTGACAGACAGTCATGACAGTCATATGCTGGCACATTTTTTGTAAGTCCAGCAGCATAGAGAGGGCGGCATGTGGCTGCGCTGGCACTTCCGGTAGATATGTCTTCCTTCTGCCGTTTCCCCGTCTAGGTCATCAAATTAATCGAGCAGCGATGTTTGCACGTGGCAGGTAGGCAGTATAAGGCAAAAGCACGAGGGGAGGCGGAAAGTTACGTTAACCGATGAGATTAAAAAGTTCGCAGGTATAACGTGGCAGCAGTAAGTGCAAGATCGGGTTGATTGGCGGATCATGGGAGAGGTCTTCGTCCTGCACTGGGTGTAAATCAGGCTGATGACGATGATGTCTGCAGTTTCTTTGCTTTTATTAGAAGTTCTGTTAGTTACACATCTTTTTTTATTTATTTTTTTAAATAAAGACCACATATTCTTATTTTAGATTTCTGGGTGTTCGCCTTCTTGACTCAGTGACTGTAACAAAGTTGGAAACACTGAATGCATTCGTAAGAATGTTTTCATGTGTACGGGTCTCCGCAATATCGTTCGTTTATGTAGTTGCAACAGATGTGAAACGGCAACATTGATAGGCCTAGCTGACGGCACACATCTGACATGGTCTGTGGACTGAAGTTGACTGGCTTTTAGTGCCCCTTTAAATATAGCGCACATAAAAGGAGGAAGTGGATGGGCTCCCTTGATGCCCGAATCAGTTTTAGGTGTATCACCTTCTTTGTGCATGAGAACCCGAAGCATTTTTTTTTGTGCTACCACTAGGCTCTATTCGCGATTGATTATATTGCACATTTCTATTGCTATTTGCACAGACTGCTTGTTTCGTTCCTACTATGGTGCTGGTTTTTTCGCTGCTGAGCGAGTAAAATAGCAGATGGGACAGTTTCTTGGGTGACTGTCGCCATTTTTCGAGATGCGTTTTGGAAGAAGTGTCAGCTTTTATACGTGGCATTCTATGCTTCTCTGGTAGCACCACTTGTTATGCTTTTCGTCATGGTGCACATGAATGCTTTTTTGGCTTTAGTAGCGCTGGATTATTCTTTTTTCTAAAGCAGTGTATGTTTGCTACTTGTTGCATGGTCTGCGGCATGTTGCAACGCTGAACTGAAGTCTGCTGATCTAAAGGTGGGAAATTCATAGTTTTATCGTAGTTACATCGTGAATTGCATCTTAAATCGCACTTGGTAGAATTTAGAAGTGGAATGCATAGTATGGTGTTGTATTTCTCTCTTGATCTTAAGGTAGGTCACCACCTTCAAAAATGCATTTTTCAAAAAAATTTTTTTGGAGGGATTTGACATTTTAGAGTTCTCTGTTCATTCAAGAATACTTGGGGAAAAAATATGTTGCTATCTATAGTCGCTCAGAAGTTATCACCATTTTTTCAACCCCAGATATATGCACCCGAAACCGAAACTAAATGTTCAGTTTCCGCAACACCTACCATTTCGTCACAAATATTTTTCATGCACATATGACATAATGCTAAGTTATCTAAGTACGTTTTAAAGCTTGTGGAACATCACGTTCTCATTTTATTTTAAAATTTTCACTACTCGGTTGCAGTACTCCACTAGTCAAATGGGCGCACTTTTGTTCAGCAGTCATTCTTGTTCTCTCTGCCATTTCGAGTTCTTGGATTTAGTTCTGGCTTTTTGAGGTGAAAGTTATATTTCATGCAACATGGTGAAGTGTAGGGCAAAAAATGAAGCATAAATGCAAGTTAGCGAAGTCAATATGCCAAGCGCAAACCCACTGAGGAGCACGGGGATAAGAGTCACTTACAGACACAAAACGAGCTAGGAAAAAATATGCTTCTTTTGTCTCGCTCAAGAAAAGCTTGTACCACTTTGAAAGTGGTCCCAAGCTATAAGCCCGGTGAATTTCAGGCGTATTGAATGTTTCTTTGTTACATGAACATTCAGTTGAAATCTTGAGAGCAATTTTTCTTGAAGCATGATTTTTTGCATTCTAGTGTTACGCAAACGACGATAACTCTGCTTTCAACCAATATTATCACATAAAATTTTGCGTGCCGTTTCTTTATAAGTGGAGCTGGGCATTCAAGCAGTATTATTGATCACAAGTCGTAACCCATTGTATAATGGCCAACTGCGTGCCAGAACAAACTTGCCAAATATGAACTTTTTTACTCTTTTTATGATAACGCGCCTAGGCTTCAAGGTACGATGGTCGTGGAGGTTAGATTCACAGGGCGTTGTCCTCACTGCACAGCTGCCAAGTCACGTTTGAGTCGCACCAAAGTTTTTTTTATTAGTTATCATTGTTGGTGCAACATGCATATTTTGGCACTTTTAGAATTTTATGAATTTTTTTTACAGTTTTAGCTAATTTATCATCTTAATCCTAAAATTTTCCAAAGCCCTACAAGCCACAACCATAACTGTAACGTTTGGAGTAAAACTGTAAAACGTTTTCTCGAAGGTGTTGACCTACCTTCAATGAAATAGGCCATATTAGTAATGCTAGTAAATCACTAATATTACTCATGTTAGTAAATATTAGTAAATCACTTATGCTAGTAAATATTGTGTTAGTTCGTTACTTTTTCTAACCACCCACCACAGTTGTCTAGTGGCTAAGGCACTCGGCTGCTGACCCGCACGTCGCGGGATTGAATCCTGGTCGCGTGGCCGCGTTTATGATGGAGGCGAAAATGCATGGGGTCCATGTGCTTAGACGTGAGTGCACATTAAAGGGCCACTCACCAGGCCCCATAACAAGTTTTAGTTATATCGTGGACGTTGTGTGTCTGATAAGGATCATTATGCTACATTTTTTCAATCGGTTCATTATGAGCTGAGAAAACAGTTTTTTTTTTTCAAAGCGGCGCGAAACGAGGAAGCGAGCTTGAAACGCTTGCTGCTCTCCCGTGTAGTCTTCGCAAACCAAATCTCTTCCCTACTCTCTCCGGCAGCCAACCAAGAGGTCACGTGCGCTTGACGTGCTCGAACAAGCCCAAATCCCGAGCATGCGAGCGGCGTTTCGTTGCGCAGCGTTATTTTGTGTCTACTGCCTGTTTCTACGGGATGGTTTGGAAACGCTGGCTTGGACGCGCTAAAATAGATGAGCACAATGAGTTTGCGAATGCATATGAACGTTACTTTCGCTTCCACGGCTGTCGTCTGCTCGATGCACTGAGTGCGGGGACACAAATGCATGCGAAACGCCGGCACATTAGCCCCGCATCTCGTTGCGATTCACGCAAACAAGCGGAAAATAGACGCGACATTTCCTTATTGCATCTAATTATTTATCTCAAGTTTTATTGATCTCTTCGAGCAACAAATTACATAAACTATGCACGTAGTTTATGTAATTGCATGTTACGCATGTTATGTGCCACTGTTGGCAACGTCAGAGCACAGTCCTCTACATAGAGGACCAACGTCACGGCACTGCCGTGTACGTTGGTCTTTGCACGTACAAAGGGTTATACCCTTTGTACGTGCACGTCATGACCTCATTCTCTAAGCACGCGCCCGCGAAACGAAGGGGGAGCAGCGTTCATCCTGAAATTAGACTATTTCCACGGCATGTAGTGTTGCAAGTTTTGGCACACGTGATTGTGAACGCCCCATCTATGCATTGCTCTCGTCAGCTCAAAATTGTCAGACCTGGTGAGTGGCCCTTTAACGAACCCCGGGTGGTCGAAATTTCTGGGGCCCTCCATTACGGCGCCTTGCATAATCGTGTGGTGGTTTTGGGACGTGAAATCCTAACAATTATTATTATTGCTTTTTCGCAACATCAAAAACACCACGCTTTCTGCGAAGACGATAAGCGAGAAAACTCGTAAAAAGAAAATGTGGGTGGCAATGCCACCTCTAAGTTCTCACACTGCATACCACTACGTAATAGATTTTGATGGTGTCTGCTGGAATATACGTAGCCCCTCATTGGTAAAAATTAAGTACATTCTCTTCCTAGGGAGCGAGAGACTTAGCATACCAAGTTTCAGGAAATTTCGTTGAGACGGCTTTGCTGTAAAACATTTGGTTTCAACACCCGGCTGCCGAGTGTGTCGCAAGATGCAGAGCGAGATAGCATAGCCCTTGAGCATGGTTTTAGCGTGACAGCTGATAAGGGAGAAAGCTGCCCAAGCTTGGATGACTCGCATGTGTTCCACGGGGGCAGTGAGCGTCCTACGAGAGTGTTGTCCTTGACGGGAGGCTGTCGTCACGCGACAGCTCCGTTTGTCTATCACGTGCCAGTGGGGAGCTGCGAGGTGCCGCACAACCCTGACGGAGCTGCGCACGCCAGTGCCACCTCCGGTGCCCGCTCGACCGTCATCACGGTGCCCGGCAACAGCTTCTGCCCGAACGGAACCGGTCTGGTGCGGTCCTATGTGCTGCTGCTGCGTGTGACCGCTGGCGGTCAAGTCAGCGAGGGTGACGCTGGAGGTCAGTCCTGCTGTTCTTGCTCCTACTCTCGTGGTTGAAATAAGCGCGAGTATTTCATTGGTGCAGATAGTTATTGAAGAAAGGCCTTGTAGTTTTCAGCATTACCACTCGAGAACACATTGCCGTTAACCCTAATATTGCTTAAGACTCACATAATTAACGTTGAACTTAACTTCCTCATACTCGCCGGCATGATTGCAGTATTTTTTCTGTTCTTTTCCGACCACCTATGCATCTTTCTGTTCGTTTACCACATTTTGTTGGTTTGAAAAATGTTACCGTTTTTCAATATTCAAGTTTCATGCACTGCCTTTTACTGGTTCATGACTTTTCGCTGCTGTTTTTCTGTTGATTTATTTTGTGTCTGCGAATTGATTGTATTATTGTTAAGTTTACTTGTTGCCATCATTGCTGGTTAAAATAAATCTTGTCATCATGCCCTGGAAGACATCATGTGCTCTAGAGGTCATCATGCCGTCATATTGTGTAATCAGTGAATAGACGTATTCTGAATATTGTCTGGTGGTTCTGATGTCGAAGAGCGCGCAATACTTAGAAACACAGAACATTTTATTTGGGGGAACTTGCTCCCTGCAAAAAGAAAATTCAATGGACTTGCTGTACACTGACTAGCAGCGAGAAGGTTCGTTGGCTGGTAGTCTGCCGTGCCGGAGCAGTGGTAGGCGCTAGGCTACTGAGCTGAAGGTTGCAGGGTCAATCCTGGCCACGGCGGTCACATTTCAACGTAGTTGAAATGCCAGAGGCACATTTGCCATATGATGTCGATGCACGCTATAGAACACCAGATAGTCAAAATCTTCGGAGCCCCTCCACTATGGCGTCTCTCACAATCATATCGTGGTTTTATAATCTAAAACCCCAGATGTTCTTATTATTATTAATATTAGTCATCGGCCGATGAGTGATAAGATTCGCAGTAAGGCGCATCGGCATTTATACCTGCGGCATCGGAAGGTTCAGCATTATCGCTGGCGCTTGCGAAAATTCACGAATAAACCTGACTATTTGCATTCTTTGGGTAATCTTAATAGAATGATTGCAAACAATTGCGAAGCTTCTAGAGCATTTCGAAGTGATCAGTGCCGAGCATTGCGAACAGCTTTTGTGAATAAAATTTGAATATGTAAACATAAAGCAAGAAACGGCCGTGGTAGTATATTTTAATGATGTTAAAACAAGTGTTGGCATTGTATATTAGGCTTCCATGTCCTATCGCTGTACAAAATCACGTGACATGTACGGTATAACTGTGATAGTCGCAATTACATAGGGTGTTGCACAACAAAAAACAAAGGAGCGCATATGAAAGAAAAATTATTTTCTCATATGTACATCGCTTACCTAGGACTCATTGTGTAAAAGTGCCTATGTCTGGCTATGCACTATCAAGTGAGAAGCTGAAAATATTGCCGTGGAATGCAGTTCCTCCGGCCGAACCACCATCCAAGAAGGCACGGCGCAACGGATGCCACCGTTCACCGCCTTCTGGTGCCGTAGGCGGAACTGGTGGCAGCGCTTCGGCGGAAGAGAGCCGCCACTATGTGGGTGAGATGGTGGTGTATGAGCAGCAGCGTTGCCTCCTCAGCGAGGGTGAATACCAGCTGATGCTGAGGCCCTGGGGACCAAAGGCAGCACCTCTCGCCCGAACAGCATCTTGGGAAAGCCTCAACAACTCCGAGGTTGGTGCGCATAGTTACCTGTCATTCTGGTGCAACTGGCACCGGAGTGAAATCACTGTCGTGTCATCAAGTTTAGTGATTTTTTGAGCTCGTGCCATTCGCCAATATTGTCATTTGCATGCTGTCATGCAAGAACACTTAATTAATGGGAGATGTGACTAGAAGACACCTTTTTTTTAATATTCACCTTAGAGCAATGAAACTCGAGCTGTTTATTGATCTTTTTATGCTGATTTCAAGTATATAAATAGTTTTTTTTCACTTGTTGCATACTTTTAGCTCTGCAACATGACAAAGTGAAAAACTCTAGCATCTTGCCCTCCTCTTTTCATCGCTAAACTTCCATAATTTTTTACCATTCATAGTTCATAATGTTCTAAATAAAGTGTAGAATGCAAATAACTAGTTTGATGGTGCATACAAAGCAGTTGATAGACGTGAAAGAGTTTATATTTTTCCTACCCTAGTAAAAGTTTACATAGAATTTTTTATTGTATAATAAAGATATTGAAATTTAAACTAGATAATTGCATTTGTCATACTTAAAAAAAAATTTGCGGGAAATTTCATGCTGATTTGTGCATTAGAAGTACTCAAAAAAGGAGAGGCACATTGAAAAAAAAAAGTAATTAAATGCAGTGAAATACGTGCACCAAAAGAACGTTCCTTCTTGTTGTGGCCACTGTCACTAAAATGCGCCAGCAAGTTTGTCCCATACGGCTCTTTTGAGCTGACTCCTCACAGACAGGGCCATGAAACACTTGCCAAACTTCTTCCGCTCCATCTGGCAGAACCTTGTGCCCACTGCAAACTAGGGAGAAGTTCGACAGCAGTTCGAAATCCAAACCAAGTCCAGTGTCGAGGGACACAACAGTGCCGATGCCATTGTAAATCATGTGGCCGCGTTTGCGCCATGTATCGTTGTACGTAACAACAATGTCGTCCTTGCTAGCTTCCCTCTCTGTGAGCTCTGTCGACCTCGCATGGCCGCACAGATGGCATTTATTGCTGCATCACGGACTTTCTGGCTGATGGATGGGAATGACTTTGATGCATTGGCTTTTGAACCCGAGAATTGCCGCAAATCGGACCAGCTGCTCATAGCCCATTCCTACAGAGCACGTTGCCACAACAGCTTTCACGTTGACAGCGTAGCTATTGCTCAAGCTAAGACTTTCTTCATCTATAATGGATATAAAAACACGAGAAAAGCATTGTTCAGCTGCGCTGCTCAACAATACATGGACTGTGCAGGAGGCCTCACAGCACATACAGGTTCGCAGGGGCCAATGGCGATCCCCGATCCGTACCACGTGATTAAAAAGCCAGTCGCAGCGCTCGAGAAACACTGAAAAAGTGTGCTTCTTTTTATCATCTCTTGTGCTGCAGCAGCGCGGGAAACCGTCGTTATTTGAAAAGTGAGGCTCGGCTCTTCGCCTCATGTGATCGAAATGGCGAGCGGTGGCGCATTATCAGCAGCAAGGTGCTCGAAGACTGCACTCTTCCGGCCTTTAAACAACTACCTTGTGCTCTTTTGACGCAATGTTAAAGCGTTTCCAATTGAGTCTCGACAGATTTTTTTTTCCAGAACAGTAGAGGTATTAATCTTATCAAAACAGGTGAAAATGAAAAATCGATAATTTTTCAGAAAACTCGTGTTTTTCGACCTGCATCTCCCCTTAATGACAGTCTTTGCAAAATGCACTTGCGGTGAGTGCGTCTCTCAAGCTCGTTTCGCCATGTTTTCCGTATTGCACAGTCGAGCCCGCTTATAACAAACCTGAGCGTGACGCGGCATCCGTTCGCTATATCCCGAAGTTCGTTGTAAATGAAACACAGCTTTTAAAAAAAGTTGTGAGTGAAAACACAAACTTTTTATGCCCCAAAAAGCAAGATGCACGTGTTTCGAATAGCAGAAGCGATAAGGGCGGTCACGAGTTCATTTAAAACGGCAGGGTGCTCATTCGCCGAGGCCCGTGGCATAAGCTGCACGAGGCACTGACTCCAAAGTTTTGTCGTTCTCGCATTCCGATTCCTCCAAATCGCTCTCACCACGTACTTCATTCACAATGCCCTAATCCGTGCACGGTTCCGCAGTGTCGGCATCATCATCGGCCGTAATTAAACCATCGCAACAGATATTCCACCCGCTCTCTCAGGTCAGAGTCGACGAGGTGCTACTACAAATCGCCGCCGCAGTTCAAAAGCTTCAGGCTCGGCATCGGGCCTGACGTCGACGAAGTTGGCCTCGTGAAAAGTTTCATGTGCATGTAGTCATCACTGCCACCCACGAAATATTCACTATCTCCACAGCTGAATACAGGGACGCCCGAAGTGGCAAGTTGGCTGTCAGGTGGTCAACAGCTATGAGCAAGTGCTCTGCAACGCGGCACCTAACGCGCGGATTACGCTCAAGCCAAGCGGTCACACTTTCGACGTTTTGTTGAGCGGCAGGAATAAGCGTGCTAGTTTTCCTGTCGGCCATCATGACCACACACGCACACCAAGAGCGAGCAAGACGCGCACACTGACATGGCAGAACTCGTGGAACAGCTCTGGGCCCGTTCCAGTCAGAAAACAAAACTGGGGATCTTCGATTTTCGACTTCTGGCTACCCGTGGGCTGCCAGAGCCAGCCAGAGCGCGCTCGTTTTTCTCGGGCTGCTCCGCCCCCCCCCCCCCCCCCCCCCCCCCAGCGGCACACTTCCGGTTGGCGTTTGTTTTTCTCGTGTTGGACGCTTCTGGCGACCTGCGGGGAGCCCGAGGGTCGCGAGACGCTTCCAGGACAATTTAGTCGTGGAAGCTTTCTGGAAGGTTTTGGGCAGGTTTCGGGCTAGCAGACGCCGAAAAGGTACGATGCGCGCTCGGTGTCATCTTTGTGAGGACTCGATGGATTGTAATGTGGGCGCTTGAGGACTGGGCCTTCGCTTGTCATTACGCATGGCGTTATCTTCTAAAGCCTGTTCCGCCTTGCGAGATGAGGCGATTACGAGTGGCGGCGAGTGTTTGAAGCTACTGTTCATCGCATTTGTTATGTTTCCCGTGAAGCTTCCTCCTGTGAACAACGCGGTCAACTGCTGCCTGTTGACTGCGTCGGGCACGTGCCTTAAATGTTGTGTACGTAGTACACGTTCGTACGCACACATGGAGACAACTTTGGAGGGTTTTTTTTTTTCCTAGTAGTCGTTTGTGAAGCTGTGCCTGCTTTCTGTGCACTTAGTGTGATGTCCCCGCAAACACGGGCTGAACCCCAGCCCTTTCAAGAGGTTTTCGTTCATTTCTTAAACCCACGCATAAAAAAAAAGAAAAAGAAAACCTTCGGGTTAACGAATGTGCATTCTGGAGTGGAGTACCTGGAAGGATTCTGTCGACTGTTCTCACGGGCCCCCCTGCGCAAACACGAGGACCGGGCGCCTTGTTGTCTAAGAGACATTGTGACAGTGTACGGTGGCAATACTCCACGCGCACCCTTCAGATTTGTGGCATGGGGGAGCAGCAGAGCACCTTTTGTTGGTTCGGTGAATGCGACTCTGCTGCAGCGCCTGTGCCGGGCCCGACCTGACTTTTTGTCAGCCTCGGTGGCTCCAGGGCTCATTACTGCGTTCTGCGCGGATGGCCACCCGCGGCGTTAAATAACGAAGAAACGGCGGCTGCAGAGAATTTCGCGGGAGACACCGAGTTGCTTGGAGGCGTTGGGACTTGATCTGGACATCGGGTCATCGGGTACCAGAAACCGGAGCAATTGGTTCGGCTGAAAACGTTTCGGCACAACACTGCAAACTCCGGACGTTGGCCATTACAAACGACGTGCTTTGTCGGAGCATTGGGACCATTGTTCGCCCATAATTCACGTGTCTTCAAACAGCTCGCCCATCTCTCTCTCTGAGGCTTGAGTTTGTACATTGTTACTTGCTCGGCTTTGCTTGGGAGAGGGTTTTCCACTGGTGTGGGCCGCGGGGGCGGCCGTAAAAGCTGACACACACCGACTGACAGAGAAATGTGTTGTGTCAACAGTGGCAATTGGTTAGGTGCCACGGAGGGGCAAAGTCGGGTCCTACAAAAAGGGACTACGGAACCGCTATCGGGAGATACGATGGGATGAGCTCGAGATGGTAGAGAGGCGGAATGGAAAAGGAAGATAACGGTGTGAAGAGGTAGCGATGAGATTGGTTGAGATGATGACTGAGGCAGGGATGGTATGACGAGGAATTAAAGTGAGAGATAGGAAATGAGGAAGCGAGTGATTGCGGGACGTTTTGAAAGAAGATTAAGATGGAAATCGCTGAGAGAGACGAAGAAGACGATAAAGACTGACTACACGGACCATTCGTGAAACGAAGTTTATGCACCCTGTTTAGACGGGCTTTGCAGGAAGGGAAACGGCTCGTTGAGACATTGCGTGGTTTTTATTCATTGATAACTTCATCATTTGTATCGTCGTGTGTTTTCTTTGCATACCCTTGCAAAGCATACCCTTGTACAGTGCAGACCACTTGTAACGTAACCGCTTTTTGTGCGGGACCGGTTATAACGTGGGTTTTTTCGACCACCGATATGTCGCCCATAGAACTCAATGTATAGGCCGACCGTTTATTGCGTAGGCACGCGAAGGAGAATACCGGTTATAGCGCGGAGTTTTTAGGCGCGAATCGGGGAACGGAGCACGGTTTCCCGGCGCGGCGGAACGTTGGGAGTGTGAGCGGGAGGGCGCACGTGGAGACCGCCGTGAAAAGTCAAACATTGCGGAGGAGAAGAGAGGGTACAGTAGGGAGGGAGTCGGGGAGACCTTGGAAGGAGGGAGCGTGTTTTCGTCACCGTGGCGACAGTGGCAGCGTCCAATCCGGGTGTGCGCTGCACGGAGTGGGGAAGAGAAGCGGTAGCATGCTTCTTTTTTTTTCTCAACCTCCTTCTTTTGCCTTTTTGGATTTACTGTGTGCACTTCGCCAAGTCGTTGCCGTCTGAGAGCCCAGAGCACGTGTGTTGCGTAGCTCCTCTCGCCAT